ATTGCTCCTCTGACACCCTGCCATTCTGGTCGTGAGTGTAAAGGGAATCTACGCATGCAGAAAAGGAATCTCTCTCTCTCTCTCTCTCTCTCTCTCTCTCTCTCTCTCTCTCTCTCTCTCTCTCTCTCTCTCTGTGGGTGTGTGTGGGTGTGTGTGTGCCGTGCTGCAGCCTGGAGTGATTTATGCGGAGATCTGTAAGGTGGGCAGCATCATGGCCCCCGAGCCAAGTCCCACTTACCCTGATTCTTTCATTTCCTGCCGCTGATCATCGTAATCTACGCTCGGAAGTGGTAAATGGGACTTGGCCCCGGGGCGATGATGCTGTACACCTCACAGATCTCCGCATAAATCACGACAGGCAGCAGCACGCCACACACACACACACGCACAGAGAGAGAGAGAGAGAGAGAGAGAGAGAGAGAGAGAGAGAGAGAGAGAGAGCAGGGTGGGACTTGGCCCCTGGAGTTCGTCTTGGCATCTGTGATCCGTTGTTCCTCTAGGGCGCCAATGTCTTGTTATCTTTTTTTTTTTTTTTCTAAAAAACAAATTGGACCATTTCTCAATTTATGCTTGTCATCCTTGAAAGCGCAGGGGCCATGCGGATTTACTTTCTCTCTGTATCGTTCCAATCCTTTAACGGAGTGTCCCGAAGGACCAATGTCTTGTGTTCTTTTAATGATCCTCGTTTTTTTTTCGTAATTCTGATGTCGGCAGTTTCCTCGCCAGCGTAATTTTACTCTTAGCTTGAACACTCTTCTCGCCCTTGCCTCGTTCAGCTGAGGTTACTTTTTTCTGGCAAGCGCACATCTATACCTCCATTTTTTTTTTGCCATCTTCGTCTCTCTCTTAGCTTCATCATTTATGGCGCCATGTTCTACATTTAATTTATCCTCCTCCTCCTCTATTTTTGGGCGTGCGCGCGGCCCCCGAAACGGGATTGAGGGCTTTTGAGAGCGCGCTTAAGAGTCCTCTAACGGTTACGTAGCCGTGCGTCGTCTGCCGCTCCTTTGGTACAGCCGTTCAGTACCAACGCCGTACTATTCTGCATCCCATTCAGTACCGAGGCCGTACTATAGTGCATCCCGTGCCAAAAATAAGCAAAAGAAAGAAATAAAATACAGGGTTGTAGAGCACAGAAAGATCTACGAACCCATAATCATTTCTTTTTTTTTTGGTTTGCTCTTAGATTGAGTGATTGATTGATTGATTGATTGATTTAATTGATTGATTTGATTGATTGATTGATTGATTCAATTTTATTGATTGAAAAGAAAGAAAAAAACGCGCAATAGCGCACGGTCCCTTTGAGGGACCGCGCATGGCCCCTCTGTCTCTGTTGTCTCTGTCTGTCTTTCTCTCCGCGACAGCACACGCACGCCTCAGACACAGAGAGAGAGAGAGAGAGAGAGAGAGAGAGAGAGAGAGAGAGAGAGAGAGATTCCTTTTCTGCATGCGTAGATTCCCTCGCTGGTATTTGGCCCCCCTGCTCCTTTTCGTGTCCCTCCCGTTCTCCATTCTTAATTCTACGCTCACTGTTCTGTCGTCCAGCTCCTGGACATGCGTCACATGCACGCTCCGCTATAAGTAGACTACTGTCTTCACCCGAATAAAACGCCTGGTAAGTATCACCGTATGTGGACTGAATGCTGTGTCAAAAAATGCAGCTATAATTATCGGTCGTTCTATTCGGGTGAAGAGAGTAGTCGCTAATCACGACGATGAGCGGCACCATGAAATCGAGTCGATGGTTGTCACACACCCGCATGCTGCTGCTAACCTACTAGTTGGTCGTCGGGACATGTACATGTTCGTGGAATTGACTTGATCACACTTGTTCGTAGACGCAGCCATTACGCTCCGCCGCCAAACCAGTTGCTTGTCAGGATGTACGTGCACATGCGCATGCCGCCGCTAACCCAGTTGGTCGTCATGTTCGTGATCACGTACATGTTCGGGGGATTGACTTGATCACACTTGATCGTAGACACAGCCATTGCGCTCCGCCGCCAACCCAGATGCTTGTCAGGACGTACGTGCACATGCACGTGCACTTGCACGTGCACATGCACATGCACATGCACATGACATGCACATGCACATGCACATGCGCATGCTGCCGCTAACCCGGTTGGTTGTCATGTTCGTGTGATCACATACATGTTCGTGGGATTGGCTTGATCACACTTGATCGTAGACGCAGCCATTGCGCTCCGCCGCCAACCCAGATGCTTGCCAGGAGATACGTGCACATGCACCTGCACCACCACCCAGCGCTGATTAGTCCAAAAAGAGCCTGAGGCATACAAGCTGTGGCGCTGGCTCGTCTTCCGCATCCGAATCAGACAAGATCCCGTTCGACAGCGTGTCTCCAGGCATGAGACGGTCGCGCTCGTGGGAAAGAACGTAGCCTTTTCGGATGTGGGTGAGCCCCCCTGAGAGTTTTTACCCTCAGCACAAGTGTTCTTCGCGTGGACTGGTGCTGTGCTCTTTTCTTTCTCGTCTTTCCTTTTTTCTGTTTTTTCTGCTTTTTCTTTCGGTTGCGATCGTCTTGTGTGGAGATGTGAGAGGAGGGGTCACATCGACCTTCTCTGCGTCTTTGCGATGTGAAGGGAGGCAAGAAATTTAACGGATGTTTTAATTTTCTCCGATGATTGATGTCCAACAGGGCATTCGTGGAAAATCGAAACTGGAACATTACAGAGAAGATTAGCATGTCAATGACCCCTGTGGAAAAAAAAACGAAATAAAAGGGAAGAGGGGAGAGGGGTGGGGGGCGGGAGGGGAGGGGGACTGAAAAAAAAAACAGATGACACACATAGTACATAGAAAAAGAAAAAAAAGATGAGCCGAATCTCTGTCTGTTTTTTCCCACATCCCTATGTTCAATTCTATTTTTTTTCAATTCATCTTCGGATAGAATCTTACAAAATACTAGTACATCCTTTGTTGCTTGGATGGACGGATGCATCTGACTACATTTTCAGCACGAATTCATACAAGCTACTGCATCCTCGGCCACTTTCTTTTGACAGCTATTTAGTTAAAACTGACATTTTTAAATGATTTTTTGGACTTCTAACGAAGATGGGCTCAAAAAAAAAAAAAAAAAAAAACAGTATTTGATCTTTGAAGACATTTTTGTGTCGCCACATCATCGGACTTTTGATACTTTGGCAGAAAATTTTGTCTTTTTTTTTTGGGGGGGGGACCCTTGGATGTATTTTGACAGCATTTTAGGTATATAGCCATAATATAGGTATATCAATCAATAGTCCTATCTCGAAGGAACACAGAAATGCTAATAACATTGCGGTTTTTCATGGAATTCTATTGTCGTTACAATTCAAAAGAATGTCAGTTTTAACTAAATGGCTGTTTCTATCACTGAGTTCCTTAAGTGCGGCGGCATCTGTTAGGTGAAAACAAAAAACTTCAGTTGCGCTGCAGCGGCTGAATAATAATAACGATTGAACCCCGGGGCCCGTTTCTTCACTTCAACAGATTTCTCTCTTGCTTTCTATCCTTCTTTTTTTTTCCTTTTTTTTTTTTTTTTTTTTTTTTTTGTCCGTTTCTTTCTTCTCTTTGTTTCCTTGTTTCTTTGTTTCTTTGTTTCCTTGTTTCTGTGTTTCTTTGTTTAAATCTTTCTTTCTTCTCTTTCTTTCCTTCTTGGAAGAAATGGCAGATACGGCCCAAGTGAAAACCTTTTTGTTTTTTCACGGCCAAACTTTTGCCATTGGGATGCAGGGTCCACGGGCATCACATGCCGTAGGATGAAAAAATCTGGCCGACAACATTGGCTTCCGGTTCGGCATCTTCCTGCGCGAATCGCGATTATGAATTGGGTGCTGCATTTACGCCAGATTCATTTCCCGTACGCCCTTCTTGCCAAACAGGAGAGGTTTGGGCGCGGAACATCAAAAAGGTTTTCAGCTGTATCCACACCTTCTTTCTTTCTTCTCTTTCTTCTCTTTCTTTCCACTCTCTCTGTCCTTCTTTCTTTCTTACTGTGGTATCTGCGATCATCTTATCGTGACTTTATCCTTTCTTACCATTTCGTATCCTTTCTTGTCCTGTTTCATCGTGTCTATTCAGGTGTTAATTTCGTCGTTCTGCAACGAGCATGACGAAACAATGCCTCTACGTCTCGCGACGGATGCGTGTGAACCTGCGCGCTTCGTATCGAGGCCGGAATCGTCTCTAGCAGACCGGCGAGCTCGGAACAGAGTATCAGAGTGTCCATCCGTAATTGGACGGCTGTGATCATCATGCCTCCATCAGCATAGACTCGACTCGCGGCAACGAGCTGGACACAGATCATGCCGCTGAGGTAGGACACGGCAATGGGCACCGCTCTGAGGAAAGAGGACAGAGTCGCTCGCGCACGACATTGAGAGAGAGAGAGAGAGAGAGAGAGAGAGAGAGAGAGAGAGAGAGAGAGAGAGAGAGAGAGAGAGAGAGAGAGAGCAACGATGTGTGGCTAAGACATCGCAACGATGAGCTGCGCGGACAAAAATCTGCCAGTGATATATACTGGAGGAAGGTGGGGATGACGTCAAGTCCGCTTGTGGCCCTTATGGTCTGGGCTAGACACGTGTGCTACAACGATAATGACAAGGGTAGTTAACATGGATTGTGCGGACTTGCATCTAGTCGCCTTATCGGTCTGATGGGTCGGGCTGACGATTGGAAGTGGCGGAGCTGCTGACGATTGTCGATGGCGGGCTCCCTGATCGGCCGGGATACCTGAAAATGGCGGGAATGATGACGTAATTGGAGACGATTCAAAAGTACTGGCCAGCATTCCCGCCCCGGGATCTTTTTTTTTTTTTTTTTTTTTTCATTGTTTGTAGTTGGGAAGTTATATCCAACGTGGCATCAGCGCACTTGCAGTTGATTGCAAGTCGGGATGGCAAGTCGTCGTAGGGGATACTCGCAGTCGGGGAGCTTTTTGTTTGGAACGGGTTCAGGGCGTAATTCCGGTCTGGTACAGTGAACACAAGGCGTAATTGCGGTCAGATGCATTCCGGCAAGGCCTAGTCTAATTGGCGCGAAAGAGGGTTGTAGGTGTGTCAAGTCGTAGACTAGCGATGATCAGCGCTTCTGTGGCACAAGGATAAGCCTGCACAGTGAATATATTGAAGGAGGGGGGGGGAGCCTAAAGAAAATGAATCTTGGGAGGTTAAATTTATCTTGAGACACAAGTGATCAACCCCCCCCCCAAGAAAAAGAAAAAAAAAAGCCCATTAAACGAGAGGGTGGTCTAGGAGGCGGGTTGATTTAGTCATTAGGGGGAAAAAGACTAATCAGCCAAGCCGAAGGATCGCTATGGAACGGTCATCGGCTTATAGAATGCGGACACGTGGACGCTCGCCGTCCTTCTCAGAAGGTGGTTGCTGTTTTTATATCGATGCCTGGATTGGTATCCCGGCCCAATCACTGCTGCTGCTGATCGGAATCGTTGCCACGTGGGACCATCTCGCTTGGTCCTTTTGCGCAGTAGGAGCAGCTGCGAAGCTCATGCCACGAGTCTCGATCGTCCCTAGGGGCGACCGGTCGGGCGTGCGGTCGCCAGACGCGCGACCGGTCGGCAGCCCTGATCGGGTCCTCCAAGCCTCTGCAGTTCTGCCGGAAGAGCTTTCGCCCTTGTTTGTCAAGGAGAGGAGCGGGTTGGTCGTCAAGCACCCCATTATGAGTGTTGGTGGTGACCCTTATTCGTGCAGAGCTGGCGTAAATCATCTCGTGGTGCCAGAACCCTCTCAAGTGGACAAGGAAGTGGATAAGGCAATGATCTATTATGTCCTGGATGAGTTCTGCTTTGCCCCCAACGGATCCAAAACAGAAAGGGTGACATCCATCAGGAGCGCAAGTTTCTCGCTGGGTGATCGAGCACCGTCTCCCTTGGATGCTAATGACAGCAACACTCTCTTGACCTACTGGTGGCCGGCTTCCTCACCCAACGGGACAAAGATCACTGATCGGCCACTCGTGAAGTTGGGGGTGAACATGAGCTCTTCGTTGGCTGACGCGGCCGTCTTCTACGGCCTGGACCTGACGAGATCGCAGAGCAACCTGGACGTCAGTTCTGAGCCGTACGATGTCGGCGGCAGGCGCATCATCACCTCCGTCTCTGTGATAGATGGGTCGCGCTCGTCGATCGATCCGGGTGTGAGCTCGCTGCAGAGCTTGGCGCTCGATCCCGCCGACAACAACACCCTGTACATATCCGACAACTCCGAGACTTCCCCGAAGATCCTCTCCGCGCCTGTGTCCGACTCAGGTCTCCCCGCAGCTGGGGGCAACCTGTCCCAGGTGCTCAATATGTCTGGGGATCCCCGTGTCTCGTCGATTGATTTCGGTCCCTACAGCTTCGTCTCGGGTGGGAGCTGCATGTACTTCCGCGACGACGAGCAAAACCGCGTGTGGGGTTTCGATCCCCGACGCTCCTCCTCGCCCTCCTCCTCCGCCGACATCAAGCTCGTGGCAGGGTCGGGAATCCCGGGGTCGCGCGCCATGCAGAAACTCGATGACGCCAACACTACCTTCAACCGCATGCGGGCGCTGGTAACCACACCCGATGGGTGCAATCTCTTCGTCACGGACGAGCAGGGCGGGCATGGACTGGTTCGATGGCTGAAGCTAGAGCGGCCCTGTAGCCTGGCAACACGAGTGGAGGTGGTGGCCAATCACACCGGCACAGAGTCGTCCAGCTTGGCCTTACACAGAGCTAAGGGCGGGCTACGTCTTCTGCTTGGCTCGTCAACTGGCGACGTGTTTCAGCTGATAATCAACGAGAGCCTTCTAGCGAATTGCAGCAGCCCGCCGCCATCATCGGCCTCACTCACCGACGCAACTCAATCTCCCACAAAAAAAGGGCTGAACCTAGTGCTCATCATCGCTCTGGCCTTCGGTGGAGGCGCCTTAACGACCGTCCTTGCTCTTCTAGGCTCCTGCTACTACAAGAAGCAGAAGAGCGAGCAGAAGTCGCGATCCCGACAGGCGGAGGGACGGGATGGGCTAGCCTCAACCGACTCCCTCTCGCGGGCGAACTCGTTGGCACGTGGTGCGACCGGATTATCTTGGTCCGTCGAGATCCCGAGCATTTTGAAGGGATCGTCGTCTACCACCGCCGGCTCCTCCTCCTCCGACCGATCGAGGCGCAAGCGAATGGAGCTCTCTCCGTCCAACGTGCAGCGCTTTGAGCTGAAGAGCTTGGCAGACTGCACGGGTGACTTCCATCCCTCCAAGGTCATCGGCGACAAGGGGGCGTTCGGCGTAGTCTACAGGGGTTCCATCGACGGCAGGGAGCTGGCCATGAAGGTGATGACGGGCGAGTTGACGGAAGTCAAGAAGGCACAGTTCGTTGCAGAGGTGAACACTCTGAGCAGGTTGAACCATGCCAACCTCGTCGAACTCGTTGGGTTTTGTCAGGAGGGAGAGAAATCCATCTTGGTCTACCCTTACTACGCAGGGGGAAGTTTGCAGCAGCGATTACACGGCGACACGATAGAGAAAGAAGAACGAAGAAAGCAAGAACGGGGACAAGACATACAAGGGCAAGAAGCCGTTGGGCACTACAAGAAAAACAAACATGATGTTTCACCGTTGACGATAGAGGAGCGCATGCGCATCGCTTTCCAGGTTGCCAAGGGACTAAGCTACCTGCACGACGGAGCAAGGCCGGCGATCATTCACCGAGATATCAAGAGCAGCAACGTTCTGCTAGGGGAGGGAGAGGGGGACATGGTCCAGGCGGTCGTGGCCGACTTCGGCTTGGCGGCCATCGGGGAGAGAGTGTTTGGCACAGGGTACGAGCACTTCGTCGAGACTTCGCACGTGGGGGGTACTTTCGGGTACATATCCCCCGAGTACATGCTGTACGGCAAGCTGTCGGAGAAGAACGATGTGTACTCCTTCGGCGTGCTTCTCCTCGAGCTGCTGACGGGGCGAAAGGCCGCCTGGCGGGCGATCCGAATGGGATGGGAGACACTGGCCACGTGGGTCGGCCCGTTCCTTACCCGAGGAGGGGATGATGGGGATAAAGATCCCGAGGGCTTCAACAGCATGCCGTTTGCGATTCTCGATCCTTCCTGTTGCGCTCAGGTGGCGCGTGACGCTCCCACCAAAACCATGGTGATGGAGGCCTTTTCCTTGGCGGGAGATTGCGTCAAGGAGGAAGACAGGCAGCGGCCCTCCATGACCATCGTGGTGCAGCGCCTTCGCTCCATGTGTCAGCAGGCGGACATAGCCTTGTGAAACATTTTCCGGCCCAATTCGCATTCCGCATCTGGACGTGTTTGTGCGGAGGTGCAGAAGCTCCCCCTATTGATCTGCTTTCTGCATCTCCCCGGAAACCCATCCAGAGTGAGGAGATTAGAGATTGTTTCAATCCCTTTGCCAGTGGGACCTTGCTCCGTTTTTTGGTTTTTTGTTTTTCCTTTTTTGGCTTTTCGCTTACCTGTCAATTCTGGAGAAATCTGTACAGGACGGCCTTTCAGGCCTTTTTATTGTCCTTACATTACTACGAGGGAAGTTCAGGGAACCACGTTGCAGCCAGCCCCAGTTCAATTCAAGCATCCAACGAGGGAACATGCAAGGGCTGCACCGAACCTCCACAGGTGGTCTATACCCGCGAGGTCTGTTATTTTTATTTTTAATTTTTTTTTCGGGAAAAAGTAGGGATTCCTATATTCAAAGTTGAAAAACTCTGAGTCCGGGAATCCTCAACAAACAACCCGGTTGTAATCAAGTCACCGGACAGTATCCAGCTTCACTTCAACTGCAGAGGTTTCCGGCTCTCTGTTGCAAGAAGCTCGCCACACCACTCTCGAATCTCGAAAATTCGTGAGTCTGAAGCCGCCACACAGCATCACTCGAAAAAAAAAAACTTGAAACTGTTCGAGAGCTGTCAGGAAGGGTTTTTTTTTTTTTTTTTTTTTTTTTTTGGTCACTGGGAATCAGTATGAAATTCGTAGGTCGGTATTCAATAGTGAAGTGGTCCGTGGGAAGGAATTCCCATTGCCTCTCTGTATCTTTCCAATTTTAACGGATGTCCCGAAGGGGTTTTCGAGTGCCCTCTCGAAACGATGTTTTCGCCCAGCCTGCAGCGTTGGAGTTTTCGTGATACCGCGGAGGCAGCCTGCAGCGTTGGAGTTTTCGTGATACCGCCTCTCCGCTCTCGAGTCCATTTCGAGAGTTGTCAGGCCGTTTTTCGTGATGCAGCCCGTCCGCGCTCGAGTTCGTCCATTTCGAGAGGCTGGTCTAGTGTGCTATGTGGCGAAGGGCCATTTTCTCTCGAAAACCGGCCTCTCGAAAAATCCTGACAGCTCTCGAATATTTTCGAGATTGGAGAGTGGTGTGGCGAGGCCCTAACCTGAGCACCGAAAATTGAAGTCTATCGAGCTCTCTGCTCTTCAACACTACCAACGGACTATATCTATCTTTTTTTTTTCTTGTTTTTTTTTTTTTTTTTGAACAAGGCCTTTGTACAAGGCCTCTATCCTGGTGGTGGTAAGAGAACCACCTTGCGGGCCGCTCCATCTATTGGTGGGGAGCATCACCTGCTGGGAACCGGGCCCAGCGTCCCATGAATACATCTGTACAAAACAGTAGATCATTGAAGGTGATGCCATCGGGCTGGAAACTGGGTCCAGCGTCCCATATCTAACCTTTTCCTCCATACCTAACCTGCAGCACCGTCGGGTACTGGGGGGAGAACCACCAGGGGGCACCAGTGGAGTCTCCCTCCATCCCCTAGCTCCTGCCCTCCACCTACTATCCTCATGGCGTCCAGCGTCCCATATACAAAAAATAGAATGTCTGAGCAAGGGGCCTGCCAGCATCGGGCTATATCTAGGTTCACTCAACGAGTTTCCATTACTGTTGCAGGTCTAAATGGCGACCTGCAGGGCCACTGCCCCCTTGTGACACTCCAACTATTTTACCCAGGCAAGCAAAAGCAACTAATCCTAGTCAATCTGCCAGCCTCCTGCGGCTAATTGAGAACCGAGTGTCCTGGTACCCACGTCTAACCTACCTTACAAAAACCAAGTCTCCCTACTTCAACCAAGCACAGAACTCCAGTTCCCCATTGCTAATCACTTTCACAATCCAATTGGAGGCACCACTACGCGCCCATGTTCTCTGAAACCACCTGTGGCTTTTTCCCAGTATCAGTCCCTGCTAGTTTCTTCTATTCCAATCTGACTTGATGTACTGTCTCAGTCTTGATATGATCTGCAGTTTGGTTTCCGTATCCGATGTGCCCTGCCCCTGGAAACAGGCTTTGTTCCTGTTGTCCCAGATAACACAGCACAGTATGGCTCTACATGCCTGTACTACGTAGCCGCATCCCTCTGTGGGGGCAACCAGAGCTGGAAGGAGACCTTGCAAAACCCAGTCTTTGTCCCATTCCCAATCCCAGCCCGCAAAGTCTTTCCAGTGAATCGCCCACCAGACCCAAATACGCTTAGATGCTGGGCAGTCCCACCATAAGTGGGTTGTTGATTCAAAGGGCCAGGTGCATCTTCTGCAGCCCAGATGGATGTCCATACCTTTGCCTACTAGCCAGACTGCAGAAGGGGTGATTAGTAGGGACAGAAGCCACAGCAGGGCGGCGTGCCTTTGGGAGGGTAGCTGTTTCAGCTGGGCCCAGAATCTGCTCAGGTACGATAACACTTTAGGGCCCGAACCTGTGATCTGTGTGTCCCACCATTCTGCAGCCACTGTGGCAGGGCGTCTCGGTGGGAGCAACAGTTCTGAGGAGGTCTTCATTAACGTCAATGGCAGCATGGACCCGTCTTTGCCGAGCCCTCTCCATCCCCACGCCTGTGTGTCCAGTTTCTGTTCAGCCACTGGTGTGTCGTTGTAAGATAGTACCCTGTGCTTGTCTTCGTCCTCCCAGCTCTCGATGACTTTTATCTGCTGCAGGGGGGTCCCCAGCGGCGGCCTGTAATGAGCCAAGCACTGGTGTGTGACCAGAGGTACCTCGTCCTCCGAAGCGTTTGAGTCAGATCTGCTGTCCGTCGGTTCGTTGCGGATCAAGAGTTTTGAACCTGGCACCTTGTCTCATCTCTGGAATTCTCTGGACCCAAAGGGGGTGTATGTGGTCAGCTTCCAGGACACCGGCAGGCCCGGGAAATTTCTGGTAATGTACCAGGTGCCCAGGGGGTCCACCGCTTCCGGAGCCAGACGATCTTTCCATGACCGAGGGATTGCAGTAATGAGACTACTGAGCTTTCCCTCGATGTCCTGCAGTTGACCCAACTTCTGCTTGATTTCCTCTGCAGACAGCCAGACTCCTTTTATAGTGTTTCAGATATCCCTAACTCAGAGGACTCCTCTGCAGATCCATCTTTCTCAGAATGCCCCTGGTTCTTTGTTTGCTTTAAATGGTTTGTCTTGTGAGTCTCTGATACACGGGTTATAGAACAGAGGTTGGTTGAAAACCTCAACTTCGGTGGTTGGCACCACCCATTCCGTAGGCTTCACTTTCTTCCATGCTTTGATCACTCCCGCCCAAAATTTAGACTTTAACCTCCTGTTGAGAAAGGAATCCAGCTGGAGGCAGAGCCATAGATCTTCATTCCGTGAGAGGTCCCATTCTGAGGCCAGAATGTGTTCACCCATTTGCACCCATTGTTCCGTCCCTTCGCATTCAGCAGCCTTCACAATTCAATTGCCCAGCAGCAGACAATTGCTTCAATGCGGATCGTTGATGCCTAGCCCACCTTATTCTCTGGGTTGCGCAATGCGGGCCCTGTCCGCCTTTGATACAAAACCTTCGTCAGCGTCTCCTTTGGGTTTCCAAATAAACCTCGCCGAGATTCTCCGAGTTAATGCCAAAAAGGATAAGCTCAATAGTCGGACAGTGCCAACATAGTTCAAGAGCGAGAGGAGGGACACGTTTACCACCATGGCCCTACCGAAGATCGAAAGATGAGGTGTTGTGCCCCAAGATTTGATCTTTGAAACCAACCGGTTTTGCAGCACCTCCTCCTGTGCCTCCTCGCATGTCTCCATGGCGAATAAGACCCCCATAAATCTCTTTGCCTCCCCCTTATTAATGTGTTGCATGCCCCAATCGGCCTGGGGAGTCAGTTCTTGCGGCAGGAAGTAGACAGACTTGCGCCAATTAACTGCTGCTTCTGAGAACAGTGAGTATTCGTCCAGCAGGGCTTTCAGGGTTGTTAGTGCTGCAGTTGAGTTCTCACACACAGCAAACAGATCGTCAGCGATGGTCTTGGCCTTACAGGCAGAGTGTCTGAGAGCCAAGCCAATAATTTTCGGATGACTTCGGATGTTACACATGATAACCTCCAGCTGAATGATGAACAAGGGGGGTGCCAATGGGCAACCTAGGCGCAGAGAACGAGATAGAGGGAACGAATCTGACAAAAGTCTGTTAACCATGACAGACGCAGTAGAGTGGGTGTAGAGGAAAACTTCCCATCTGCAAAAATTGTCCCCAAATCTCATTTTGTGCAGTGTTGTTAGCACGAAACTCCAGTTTACCCTATCGTAGGCCTTCTCCAAATCTAAGAGTAAGATGGAGATAGGTCTGTCTTCCTTCTCTACAATCTCAAGGTTTTCGATCGCCGTGACTATATTCTTGAAGATGGAGCGAACCCTGCACGAACGCGGCCTGGTCATGGTCTCTTAACTCAGGTAGATACCTTGCTAACCTTCTAGCTAGCGTCTTTGCCAAAATTTTGCACGAAACATTCAATCTAGAAATAGGCCGCCAGTTTCTGATCTTGTCCCTCGTTCCTTTCTTGTATAGCAGAGTGATCACCCCGTAGCACATGCTCGAAGAGAGGTTTCCACCAGTTAATACATTATTATACATTTAGAGTAGTGTAAGCGCCAAATCAGATCAGACAAGTTTGAAAAATTCCACAGGAATTCCACCTGAGTCAGGGGCCTTGCGTTTTGACATGGCCTTTACTGCAAACCTGACCTCGGGCTCCATCAGAGGACGGTCTAGGTCCAAACGAGCCGCTTGGGAGAGATTAGCGTTCACTGCTTCCCGGAGGTCCGTCTGTTCCTGTTGTCTGGTACTAAGTTCGCTGGGATTTCGTCTAGAAGTCATAATATCGCAGAAGTACATCTCTGCGTAGTTGCACATTTCCAGTGTCTTTTCGTCAAACAGGTGTTGGAGTGATCTCATCCCTTTGTGTGAGAAACGGGGGAGGAGCCTCTGAAACGTTTGTTTGGTCATGCGGTCGCCTGTCACGATCCCTTTGTTGTCAGGATCTCCCTCCACCTCGTAGATTTCCTTTCTTGAATT